AGTAGTAGTAGTAGTAGTACGAGTAGGAGTAGGCGTAGGAGCAGAGCAGTGGCATGGGAAGTGGTAGCGGTAGTAGTTGTCCTCGTCCTCGTCCTCTTCGTAGTCGTCGTAGTCATAGTAGTAGTGGGTAGTCGTCGTCGTAGCAGTCGCGGTAGTCGTGGTGCTGGTAGTAGCCGGGTCGTCCCAGTAGTAGTAGAAGGAGGAGCATCAGCCTTACATTGCCGGTAATGATCATGGTGATAGACGCCATGGGCAAGTCATGGTCACAAACCGTATGCTGCGCCCTGGACCTCGGGCAATTGTCAACTAACCGTCCTGTGATGACTACGGGGTTGCTGAGCCCACATCCTGTGAGGCCAGGGTACAAAGTCGCGAAGGACCTGTCCGGGGGCCCTCGGCCTTCGCTCACGTCCGTTGACTTCAGGGTGTAGATTTTGAGCTTTCTTGCGGGTGGTCTTGTTGTTATTGGCGATGAGGAGGTAGAGGCAGAGGAGGAGGACGTCGACGAAGGGAAAATGCAAGTTAACCGCCATCATCAAGAGCGCAGTTGGGCTCGTCTTAGTTAGTTTGGTGTGGGTTAAGGGTTTGGGGCATTTCTGGCTGTCCACAGGGGTTCTGTGGGGCCACCTGGTTTTCTTGTGGGAGAATTAGGCTTCCAAGGCAGCCCAGAAGTACTTGCTTCCGATACCCAAGGGCTCCAGTTACCTAAATAGTAGGTTACTAGCCATGTATTATGTACCCCAGTAACCTACTATTTAGGTAACTGGAGCCCTAGGGGGTAGTCATGGAGCAAGAAAGCAGACGGAGTAATGATTCGCAGTTAGAGACGAGGCCGATCATGGTAGGGCAGGCAGGGTGCCAGAAAACCCAACTTCACAAGGTGTTATTTTCCTCCCTTAGAAGAAATAGTAATACCTATTCAGAACTCTTCTCGTTTGGTATGTATTGTTTCCAACTCCGTCACTACCGCCTCTGAACGACTACGTCGTCATAAACACGACGAGTGCTAGCATGCATCCGACTCTAAGACCGCGTCTGCTGAAGAGTCCCCGTGGTTTGGTGCTGGAACAGTAGGGCTTCTTACTTACAGCCACAAAAAGCTAGGCGGCTTACCCCGGACCCTTGCCCCCTAAAGTCCCAAGCTTGAAAGATGATTGCTAAACCCTACACCCTCAAATTCGAACCCGCGAACCTTCGATCCAATAAGCCCGGAACCCAAAACCACTTAAACTAAATCGTCATAATCCTAAACCTTACAACCCGAAGCCCCATAAAACTCCATTGCCAATCACCGGAAACCCTAAAACTCTACAGCATTCAACCCAAAGCCCTACACTTGAGCACGGCGAGGATGAACTGGCTCTTAGGGCTGCGACGACGGAGCAGGGCCCTCAGTTTGGGAGTTGGCTTTGGGCCTTTAGGCTTGCAGAGGCTTCGGGCTTAGGATGAGGTCGTTTGGGTTTAGAATTGAGGGTTAAGGGGTGTTGAAGTAGGGTTTGGGGCTTTTGGCTTCGAAACCCCAACAACCTGTAGAGGGAGGGGGGGCAAAGGGGGTGGGGGGAGTGGGGACTAGAGGGAGAGGGGAGGAGAGGGGGGGTGGGCTCTGACGGTGGTGGGCGTGGTGAGCCGTGCGGCCTTGCTGTTTAATATAGGGGCCTTAATAATTAGAACAAGGTTTTTTGGGGGTGTTCCTTATTATAGGTATATTATTATACTAGACCCCAAAACCCTATTCGAATTATTAAGGCCCTCTAAGTATATTATAATAGACCCCGAAACCCTATTCTAATTATTAAAGGCCCCCCCCCGAAACCCTAAACCCTAAACCCTAAACCCTAAACCCTGAACCCTAAACCCCCCCCCCCCCCCCGC